TACTGTTTGCCGGGCCGCGGCTTTCAGCAGTATCGAATCAGCGAGGTGAGGCCACGAAACGTTTCCTTTTCTGGCTCATGTACCTGTATCAGGTCCATATACTGATCATCGGCGTCATTGACGCGCTCCGTGTGCATTGGGAAACCATGGCCGACAACTTCAACACAGAACCTGAGCTGCGAATCCTTGTAGGGAGGGTCTGGGCTCTCCTTGCACGCAAGGACCACTGGAGGCCCGGACTCCAGACTGCCGGATTTGGATCTGTGGGGAACTTGCTTGTGCACGGCTTGGTTGTCACAAATCGGCAGCACACCGAAGACCTCATCGAGGGATGCGGTGGTAGTCTGGCAGATTTGGTTCAAGTTGCCGTCAAATCCATTACGCATATGCGCGGCGAATCCAAAGAGCACTCTGTATGGTTCTTGGTTAATTCACTCTCCGCCATTGAGAGAACGCACCAGCAACTTCTGCGACCTGATTCGTTATTGCTTCAAGGGGGCTTGGTGCGCGCGCTGGTGACGAAGCTATGCCAGATCGGCCCCGTAGTGATCCCTGGCGAGTACTGCCTCGACCGTCCTTGGACGATGTTGCTGGTAGTGATTCTTCAATCTCCCCATCCAATCTGGGTCGTCGAAGCGCTCGACGCCGGGTTGCTCCGACTTGTTGTCTCCGCTCTGGAAAACCCACAAATGCTTTCAGCTGCTGACTTGGAGCTTGTTTTCCCTCATCTACTCATCCCGTTCTGCCCCTACTATTCGGTATCCAGTCGAATCCGCTCCTGGCTCGAGTCGGGCGAGATCGACCTGGACAAAGCTGAACACTCTCCCGTGTGGGGTGTGTGGAAGGACTTTGTGACGAACTTCAATGATATCATACTGCCTGTCTTGAACGCGCATGAATCCTCCGAGCGAATAGCGACGCTGGGCTGCGATAATGTGGAGGTGCGTGCCGACGTTCATTATTTCCCTTGCCTTGTCTGGACACTTTCTCAGTGCAATATTGTCTCTTTGAAGCGCGACTTCAGGCGTTGCTCTGGCTGTGAAAGCGTAAATTACTGCTCCGTGAGCTGCCAGGAAGTAGACTGGTGTCGCGGACACCGGAACAATTGCAGTGCGATTCAATTGCATTCCATAGGTACGTTTCGTGGAATCATGAATCACCACCGACACTCATTCACATCGTACAGAACACCCGGATCTGTTGACCACTCGCGATGGGTCGTTCCTCCGGACGTTCATGGACACGACATACGCCACCAATCTTACCGGCATACTCCTTGGGGAACTGCTGAACGTGCACCTCGGCCCCGAAAGCCAGTCCATCACCTTATTCAAATTTACAGAGGGTCGAATCCAAGTCCAAAGTGTCGTGAGGGAGGACCCTGAGCTCCGTCCTTTGCTCGAGTCTCTCGGCCCCGTGGCCGAGGATCGATTCTCGCGCGCTGGGCAGCGAGCGGCGGTCGGATGCATCTCCATGGTTTCCTATTTCACGATGGCTGCAAGAGGCCGGTTGGATTTTTGAGTCCATTACGAACGCCGGACGGAGCTCTGCGAGCTGGGCTGGTGGACCTTTCGCGGCAGATTCCTACCGGCGTCGAATCGGTGGAAGATCTGCAGAATGTACCTGGGATGTTGGACAAAGTCGAGGAGCTGAGAGAAGCGACATGTACTTGATTCGATTCCTACACACTGAAAAGCATTTCATTTGTAGTACCGAATGACAAGGGTATTATTTGTCGAGAAAGTAATTGCCCCAGAATACGCAGCCACATCGATCTCGTTCCCAACATCCTCAGGCAAATCCAGAACGCCCACACAACCCATGGCTGGGCCGATAATCTTGTGACTCCGCTCGCCCGGCGTCGCATCAAACACTTGGGAGTGTCCCGAGTACGAGATGGTTTGAAAGTTGAAATTCGGCTGCGCGGGTACACGGCCGCGGAGGCGGAATTGGGTCGGATACGACTCGGGGGTTTCTAGGGTAAACTCGTAGCTGGACAAGGTCGCGTCGTAATCGTGGGTGTTGTATATCCAGAGGCGATACGTCCCACGGCGCACGGGGCTCTCATGTACGGCCATCCGGTTACAATACCGCGGTGCGGTTTCACCCGAGATCCGGACGTTCGAGCGGTGCGAGTGGAGCCGCTCGGTGAGCTTGCATTCGCTGATTTGCTCTTCGCTGACGGGCACATACTGCCCCTGCGCGTGGAGGGCGCCGGCAAAGGATGCGAGCATCTTGTCGAGGGGGAGGAAGTGGAGTTCCTGCTCCCCTTGAGCAGAGATCTTCTGCAGAAGAGCGAACCCGGGGACTAATGCAATTTGGGAGAGCGCACCCTATGCAAGTAAATCAATCTGTCTCCTCCCCGGAGGAAGTTGGACTTGCCTGGGTCTCCAGGATGAACGCCCTCTGCTGTATATAATTGATGAACATAAACTTGTCTTCACCCATGAAATGCACACAAGCGATCTGTCCAGAGACCAAGACCTGGTGGTATGGGTCGTCGTGGAGCGAGTCGGGGACACGAGCCGCCATCCAAGTCTCGCGACCGCCAGTTTCAAGCTCAACCGTGGCAATTTCGACGTAGCTGCGCACAATAAGAGGTCGTCCTTGAGAGATTGAGAGAGTGAACGTACTTTTCGTGGGGTCCATCGACCCCATGCTCGTAGGTTCGAAGACACATCACGAGGGTGATGCAGCGATCCAACTCGGGGTCCTGCTCCACCGCGAACGCATAAATCCACGCCGAATCGACCGTCGGCTCAAACGTCCAGACTAGCCGGTCTTCAGCGACGTTCCAGCATTCGAAGGAGTTCCAGTTGTTAAATAGGACGTGAGAGCCGTCGGGGAGTAGCTTGGCCTGGTTTTCTCAGTGCATGATATCGTCGCCCTTCCGGATGGCGGGATGGAGTGTGGTTTCCTTGCGGACCTGCAGTGTAAGCGACTCGGAGGATGCAGAGGTGCCGTCCGTGGGGGCGCTCCACGTCTCCGGGCCTGTGACATGGGACTTGACGATATTTATTCCCGCTACCGTTAGGTAAGGGTCTTAGGGCGCCTGATTTTTCGTTTTGGCAGCATGCTCCATTTTTGGTCAGCATTTTTTGCGTCAGCACCTATCGCTCCGCATTTCCTCTGTTGCAACGCATAATTCCTCTGACGCCTCTATCCGTTGCCGTCGGTCGGCATCATCCTTGTCCCGGATCAGCTCCAGTGGCTCCACCTTGACGTCTGTTTCCCACCGTTTACCGTCGAGACTCTCTTGCTTCCTGCTCCCATCTTCACAATGCCTTCCACTGCGACTCTCTTCGGCCAGTCACTCTCGATACTTGAATTTCAATCTGTCCTCCAGCGAATCTCTGGTTGCTCTCGAATGGATTCTCAGCTCCGGTGTCGCTGCTCCCCAATCCGTGGCTTCGGGCATCCTGACTCTTCCTTCTGCGGACACCCTGAACTGTCTTGCTATCTTGTTCTGGGACGCAACTGGGTGTCTTTCTGTCGGCAAACACTGCCTGATGTGTCCTTCAACCTATGGTCGAGCACGGAACACCCGGGACGATGGCCAGAGGTGTCCTCCTTTCTACAGTCCCATCAGTAATTTATTCTCACTTCCAGTGTCTGGTTCTCGGATGCGATGGGTGTCGACACTGTGAACGCTGTTGACGCTCTCCTTTCACAAAGTACGTACTATGCTTACCACGTCGCACCCACGCTCACAATTCTACCTTGAATCTCCCGAACGCGGCTGTGTGTGTCGCGAACCTATGGCGCCCAAGCTCGTCAGCTGCCCCAGTTCTGCCTCTTTGAATTCATTGCCTTCTGTGAACATATTGCTGGATATCTTACTTGGACACCATGTTACTTGATCACCTATATCCTTCTTTCATTCTGACTTGGGTACAATACAAATATCTTTGGAATTGCCTTCTATCCCCCATGCTGGTCTGAATCTAACCCGGTGTCGCCACACACTTCGCCACCACGACAGGTGCATGTACTGAGTACACTGTGTCTGTGAATGACCGCTCTCGGGTTGTACGCCGCCCGATATCAGAGCAATCCACTTTGGCTTCTGGTACGGCAAAGGCTGTTCTCAAGATTGCGCCTGATGCTGCAGACCACCAGAAAATGCACATTGAAAGTTTGCCGCATCTGGCTCCCTGTCTCTGGTGTTCGTACTTGGGAAACATTTTGAACTACGAATATGTATCCAATTGAAGAACAAGTGTCAGGCCTTCCGTTTCTGTTGTGCACTTTTTCCCATTGAGAGCCATTGAAAACCTGCCCTCATGTCAATAGCTACTCTGCACTACATTGGGAATTTCCGATAATTCCACCATGAGGGACCTGCGCACAATGTCATACTCGCCGGTGATTGGACTAAACTACATTCTCTCACTGGCGGCCACATATTATTCCACCGAGCAATTGACCCCCCTGACTGCACAGCGTGCTGATGTTCGTGATGAGTGGCGAGTGAATAATCTTGGGTCAGGCATTCAACTGTACATTCTAAGTCTTCTTGAGTATACATATCGAGAAATTGGTAGCGGGCCGTGCCGCTCGTCGGCCTCACAGCTTTATCAAGTCCTTGACCGACAGTTCCCTGAAAGACTCGGAGCATGGCAGGCACTGGGTGGTATCGACGATGAATCTCTGTTTGAGATCTTCTACGAGACCTAGCCACACGGTTTTGCTGAATGCAAGGACATGCAAAGCTCTACAGGTCTTGGAGGAGGACGTGTTGAACGATGTACAACGGCGTGAATGGCATGTACGCACTTGGGCAGCGGAGACCACGGTGGAGACGTCGCAGTGTTCAGCGAGCGTGAAGCAGAGAACTTCTGCGGGGAGTTGGAGCAGATTCATCGGTGCGGACAAGATGGGAGAGAAGAGAGATGAATTCCGTCCCGTGATTCCGGGCACCAAAGACGCCGATTGAGAAATGTCAATAGGGCTATCATGGGCCTGTGTGGCAGCCGCCTTCCCGCAACCCCTTTCGGCCCGACCCAATGGTCTAGAGGTATGATACACCCTTAGGGATGAATTCATACTTTGGGTGTGGCCCCGCGTTCGAATCGCGGTTGGGTCCCTTTTTGCTTTCTCGTTCTTCATCCGTGCTCTGCATGCATTCCAGATATTGAAATTCTACTTCAATAGCCACTCGTTATTTTTCTTCCTCCTTAACTTGCACTACCGACAATTTATGCATGTTGCTATCTTCCATTTACTATCCACACTATTCATCCGCGACAACCACCACCGCCTTGGCCTTATTCTCCCCCTTCTGCACCCGGAGAATCAAATCCCCAACACCCTCAAGCCCGCGCACGACCTCCTCGCTGTACTTGATCTCACCCGAGGCGAGTTTCTCGGGAATGGTAGCGTAAAAGGCCTTGTCGTATTTGTGCTCGAGGCGGAAGACGAGGATGCCGTGGAGATGGAGGGAACGGACGGCGATGAGGGGGGTGTTCTGTCATGTCTAGATGAGGTGGGAGAAGAAAAGAGAGAGAGAAGAGCGAACCTTGATGGGGACGTGAGGTTGATTGTACCCCGCGATGCTGCCGCACAACTATCATGTGGATTGAGCCGCTAGGTAGGAGCTATGGAAGAAGAGGACGTACGATGAACCGCCCATAGACGGCCGAGAACTCGAGCGCGGCATCGAGGATCTCGCCGCCGACATTATCCCAGAATCTAATAGGTCGCGACTTTCATACCACGATAAATAAAAGAGGAGAAGAACGTACATGTCAATCGGCCCCTCCTTTGCCAACACTTCCCGAGTATCCGTCGTCTTGTAGTTGAACGGCACGTCAACGCCGATGGATTTCATGAATTGGACTTTCTCCTCGGAGCCGGCGGACGCGATGACTTTCATGCCAGCTGCTTTGGCGAGTTGGATGACCATCCTGGAAATTCAGTGAGTAATTTGGGGTAAATGAGAGGGGTTAGACGACGTACGATCCCACAGGGCCGGCGCCAGTAGTTACGAATGCGATTTGACCCTACGAATATGTCCTGTAAACTAGACAACAAGGCAGGGGAGGAAACGCACGGCCTTGGCGTCGGAAAATTCCTGCCACGCGAACCATGCGGTCTTTCCTTGACCAAAACTCAACACACGCAAGCGGAATCGTTGAGTACATACCGGGCATCCCCGCAGCGCCGACGTATGCCGTCCACGGGAGGTCGGGGTGTTTCTCGATCAGGCGTAGAGTTGTTCCAAGACCGGGGTAGACGGTGTATTCTTGGTGCACTGATGATCCGCCGAGGTTGATTAACGGCGAGTGAAAAGAGAGAGAGAGACGTACTGATGTTGGGACCGTAGATGTACTTCCCCACTTCGACGTCGGGAGTTTCGGAGCGGAGGACTTTGGCGATGCCGTAGCCGTAGAGCCTGTGGTAGAGGTGAGACACCGCCGCAGGTTTGAGCAGTGGACTTACGGCTCGCCCAGAGCGAATCCGGCCTATCCTATCCATGAGCACGGAGGGAACTTTTGGGGCGTGAGACGGAGACGGAGACGTACCGCATACGCCGCATACGATTTCGGATCGGGCTTGCGCATTCGGCCGCGGAAGTACGGGTCGACCGATACGACGAGTGTCTTGACCAGGAATCCGCCATTCAACGGGACATTGTCGACGTCGATCGTGGGCGTGGCATCGTAGACCGTCGTCTCGCCTGGGACGGGGTAACCTGGGAATCGGGGTTGTCTGGATGGATTCTGTTGATCGACAGTCGACGGACGACCCACCTTCGGGGTGCGAGTTGAATAGAACGCGGGCGTTGCGGATGGGGGCCATGGATTGGAGGATGTCGGGCTCGGTCACGGTGAGTAGCCGGCGGATTCACATCATTTGCATCCGTGTACATGTTTCGGTTACTCGCCAGTTACCCGCACACCGGACAGGGGCTGATGCAAAATGAGTTCGATTCTTGTTCGGTTCAGACAAGATTGAGATGAAACGACTCGCAAAGTGGAAACATTTTACGGACCTATAAAAGAGAACGTTTTTCGTGCCTGGCACTTTATGTCACCAGCGCGGAGTCGACCTGCGGTGCCAACACGAAGGGGAAGATGATCTTGGGTCGATGTCATGAAAGTTCTTGTGTAGATGATGTAGACGAATAGCTGATTTTCTCTGCTCTTGGGCCTTTGTATACAGGTCGCCATATTGCACAGCGAGGTTAATCAAGGAAGATACTGGACGGCGAACAAGTTGATCCGGACTAAAAAAAATTGTGAGAAGGAACACAGAGTACATTGCGAGCCCAGGGATCGAACCTATTGCTCTCGCGACGTTGTCCCTGATGATTTATGGTAATAGTCGGCAAGGAAGCAGTCGTTTCTGCTTCGACTGGAAGTCTGGTCTATCTGGTTTGCCTGATCTTGGATAGGACAGCTCCAGTCAGATTCATGGAAATAGGTCAAGCACACCTGGAACTCCCAGAAACACACCCAATTTTAACCAAATAGCAATCATGCAAACAATGCAGGCAGGGAACAGGCTCCTCCAGAGTCCGTGGTGGTTTCGCGTCACTGATCCGAGGAGTTCGCGACAAGTGACTCATTGATGATCAACTTCTGGTTGCCAAGTACAACCCAGGGCAGTGTCTGTCAAACCCATATATAGTGCCTCTGCCACGTCAGGACCTCTCTTATCCTCTCACCTGCACCACACCTTCTTCAATGTCTCTAGAAACTGCTGAAATGGAGAGAGGGACACATTTCCATATCTATGGCAAGTGAACATGACCCAAGTCTTGTGATGGGGGTCAGTACTGACCTAGCTTTCAGGTGGCGCCGGTGGTCCTGGTGGGGCAGGTGACCAACATGGAGGAGATGGAGGTCGTGGTGAAGGAGGGACCCTGAGGATCACCAACTTGAAGTAAATTCCTAGTGGCTCTGATGCAGACCCAGATCTCACTGTACACAGTGTTTATGCACCTGGGCAAGAACAAAGACAGCAAGGTCAAATTGAACTCATCAGTAGGTACCTCATCTATATATTGGGAGCACAACCGAATATCACAGCACGGGAAGAATGCCACACTGCTCTGGCACTTGTCAGATGTCCGCCAGCATCTCAGATCTTCCAGGGCCGACAAGAAATTCTTGACAAGATGCAACAGTACTTTTCCCAAGAACCCAAGAAGAGAAGGATTTTTGTCCTCCATGGTCTGGGTGGCTCTGGGAAGACTCAAGTGGCGTTGAAATTTCTTGAGTCATGCAATGAGTAGAAACTGTCAACATAGGGTTCCTGATGATTGACAAACTTTTTCAGGGATACAAGGCAGTTCTTTGTGAATGCCAGCTCTTCTGATAATCTGAATACATCCTTCATGAACATAGCAATTTCTCAGGGGTTTGGAAAAACAGCAGAAGCCGGTCATCAGTGGCTTATTTCCAAACACAAGAAGTGGACTCTGCTGTTCGACAATGCAGACAATCCAAAGCTAAAATTGTGGCCATTTTTCCCACAATGCACCCATGGGAAGATCATTGTCACTTCCCGAAAACCCACAACTGGCTGCTCTTGCCAACCCGGATGCTCACTGCCAGGTCGGAGATTTGGATGAAGAAGACGCTGTTTCCCTGCTTCTTGCAAGAGCAGTGAAGAAGCGCACAGATGAAAACCATACATTAGCCATGGGCATTGTACAAGTAGGTGACAAGTTTTTCACCTATGATTCTATACTTAATCAGGATGTGCAGGAGCTCTCATGCCTGCCTCTTGCAATTGTCCATGCTGGGGCTTATATTGCCAAGTTCAAATGTCTCCTGGATTATCTGCATATCTACAGGCAGAACAAGGAAGAGTTACTTCGACAGCATCCTGATCAAACTCTTGATGACTATGAATGGACTGTCTATACAACCTGGCAGATTAGCTTTGAGGAACTCAGCCCAGTAGCTGCCCAGTTTTTACAGTTCTGTGCTGTATTGCACCACAGGAATATTCCCCAGTCAATATTTGCCAATGCCACACAGTGGATATTGAACAATGAGGGGAATGAAACTGGGCCAATTCAGGAAGCCACGAAATTTCTCCAAAACTTTGTCTCAGGTTCAGGAAGTTGGTCAAAGCAATTATTCGGGAATATTGTGGCGGAGATTGAGGAATATTCACTGATTCAGAGCCAGGAAGCCAGTGATATGCTAGATATGCACCCACTTGTGCATCTGTGGTGCTCAAGCACCCTACCTGATGAGGCAACAACACGGGCATGGGTGGCAAATGTGGTGGGGATGGCAATAGATCTTGGCCCTGATGCATATTTGGAGAGGATCAGGATGATTGCTCATGTCAACATGCTTGTCCCAGATTTCACTATTGTGAATTCTCAGTTCTGGAGCCAATATGCATGGATGTATTATGAGGGAGGTAAATTTGAGCAAGCAAAGGGCTTGTGTGAACTGAATCTGCAGAGACAGAGGGAGCTGCTAGGAAAGCACCACCCTGAGACACTGAGTGCCATGGCCAACCTTGCAGCCACATATGGGGAACTGGGTCAGTACAGAGAGGCAGAGCCCCTCAAAAGTTCTGTCCTCAAAGAGCGTCAGAAGCTCCTTGGTGATGACCACCCTGCCACACTGCTTGCTATGGCCAACCTTGCAGTCACATACGGGCACCTGGGTCGATACAGAGAGGCAGAGACCCTCCAAATTTCTGTCCTCAAAGAGCGTCAGAAGCTCCTTGGTGATGACCACCCTGCCACACTGCTTGCCATGGCCAACCTTGCAGCCACATATGGGCAACTGGGACGGTACAGAGAAGCAGAGCCCCTCGAAAGTTCTGTCCTCAAAGAGCGTCAGAAGCTCCTTGGTGATGACCACCCTGCCACACTGCTTGCCATGGCCAACCTTGCAGTTACATATGGGCAACTGGGTCGGTACAGAGAGGCAGAGCCCCTCCAAATGTCTGTCCTCAAAGAGCGTCAGAAGCTCCTTGGTGATGACCATCCTGACACCCTGACAGCCATGGCCAACCTTGCAGTTACATATGGGCAACTGGGTCGGTACAGAGAGGCAGAGCCCCTCAAAGTTTCTGTCCTCAAAGAGTGTCAGAAACTCCTTGGTGATGACC